CGCTGCGCTCCCTCTCGCTGCTGCTGCTGGGAGAGTGAATACTGCAATGGCTTCAGCGATGGACACTTTTATTTTCGATACAAAAAATGAGACTACACTCGTATCGCTGCTACAACTTTCTCCAGACACCATCACTAGCAGATATCGACGGCAGCTACAGCAAGCTATATTCCTGGTACAAGCAAAACTGAGCGAAAACACGATCGAAATCGCAAAACTACTCTCCTACTAGTAGTTAGTATCGCAGAGCGCCAAACACTCGACGAATACAATCAAAAAAGTCATCCATGAGTACACCATGGTAGATCTACACACCAACGCAAAACGGGAACACGCTGGTGACTGGAACAGGGCCAGTTCTTCACTGACTTGTCACTTCTTCAGTTCCGGTGCGCACGCGGACCGTGCCCCTACTTGTAGTGCAGCATATCCTAGTGCATGCAGCACATCGCACAAGATCAATGCATTGATGCATGCACTAAACCCGTGTCGACCTTCGAGCTTCGTTCGAATCAAAAACGAAGGTTCGTTTCAAAGGAAAACGAAGGTCCTTCGAACCTTCGACTACTTCGTTTCACCCCTACGGCCGATACACTTCGCATACTAATTCTTCCAAGTTGCTTCACGTTATGATCTTGTATTTGAAAGCCCTATTTGAATATGCATTGTGGCCAGCCGTCTTTGATTGTACGGTACGGGATAGGTACGGGACATGTACGGTCGAGGGTAATACGACACCATCTACCGCCTTGATGACGGCAAAAAAAGAATAGGGATGTTATAAAATTTTCAATTTTCCAATTTTTTTCAGGCATTACCTGGGATTCGAACCCGCACTATCGCCCTACATGCATTCCCCCATACACTTCGCATTCATGCCCATTCTTCCAAGTTGCTTCAAGTTATGATCTTGCGTTTGAAAGCCCTATTTGAATAGTGCGGCCAGCTGTATGTGGCCAGCTGTGTTTGATGGTACGGTACGGTACGGGACAGATACGGGATAGCGCCAGGCGTGACACAAACACACAAACAAACACACAAACAAACACCAAATTAAAGCTGTGTGGACCCTGGCTAGCGCCAGACGTTACTGAAGTAACGTCTTCTGCATAGCTACGGGAATAAAACGTTTACTTGTCAAGGCAATCCCGGGGGGGGGGGGGGGTGCTGTTGCAGGGCAGTCACTCATCACACACACACACACACACACACACACACACACACACACACACACACACACACACACACACACACACACACGTATACATTATAACTATGACGTCATGACTACTGTCAGCAGACAGCATATCAAACTGCTGCACCTGTGCACAAACATGGCCAGTCTTGCGGGTACTAGTAGCTACCACATGGAAATGTGTACTGTGCGCCATGGGAAATGGAAGAGACAATACAGATCATGGGCCTTTCACCAGCCACATCAACACAGTGCTACCTCTGCAAGGTCTTGACAAACTTCAAGCGAGCAACCCGATCAGCTACTGCATCAACCCAGAAATCTCTGCAGCTTCTCCACGCCTGAACCAGCTGTTTGGTCACGCACACTTCCTCAACCAAATGTGCCACTAGTGGGGCCTGGTAAAGCTGCATGCCGGGCATCTCACCCAGGCACTTGATGATCCGGGTGATTCGTAAGTAGTTGTGCGTGTGCGTCAGTAAGTTGGCATAGCGCGACTTCCAATCACCGGCACGGCCTACCTCGCCGGTTTGCTCGTCGATAAGCTTCAGGCCGTAGAAGTTCAGCATCATTTTGTAAGACTTGAGGAGTCGTCCGCGTGACACTGGATCACCGGTGATCGCCTTAGCCTCATCAGCTTGCAGTGCTTGTGCCGACCAATTCATTCCATTCGATTCACTTATTGGAAAAAGCCATTGGATATAGGAATGGTTGTACTCTAAATGACCGAGGTCCTGCCACCAATCTCTGTGGATGTCATCAATGTACACTCTGCATGGTGCTGCAGCAATCTTGCCACTGTAGAACAGGGTGTTTTTGTTGGCTGTGCTTTGCCGATCACTGGTCGCAGACCTGCTGGCTGCGGCAGGAAGATCATCCTGCGGTGTGTCGGACCATTCATCGCTGTCCGTCTCATGCTCACTCTCACTTCCCGCTAGTTGCTTTATGGCGGCTGTATGTGCAGCAGCAAACATGCCGTCGTCCCGTGCTGCTGCTGCTGCACTGTGTTGTGATGAGGCTGCTGGAGGGGACGGCACTTCATCATCCATACTTGCTGCTGAACAGTCTGGACTACTGGAGAACTGTTCAATGTCAGTGTACTGTAGTTGGTGTGGAGAATCACTGTTGCCTGCACCGGCGGCACTGCCTGGCGTCGGCACGGAGTACTCCATTGTGTTACACATACTGCCGCTGCCATCACTGTCTTTTTCTGTCTTGTCAACAGCACGGCCAACGTTCATGGCTGCCGTCCCCAGCGCTGGTGCTGTGACCCGGTGTCCACCGCTGTTGCTGCTACCTCCACTGTTAGCACGGTGTTGCTGATGCGGCAGGGAAGTGCGCGGCGCAGTGTCCTCAGTATGATCGTGTTCATCATACAGGTCTGATCCACCGCCGCCAGTTTCAGAGTATTCATCAGTACTCTCACCGTCCATATCCTCCTCCTCATTGTCCTTCTCCTCATTGTCTAGCTGTGCAGCAGCACGCATGCTGGAGTCTTCACACACCTTCACCACCACCGTACTGCCACTGCCATTGCTGGCGATGAGAGATTTGAAACGCTCACGCTCGTTCCTGTCACACACAGCTTCAGTCCAAAAGTTCTTCAGACTTCGCTTGGCATCCACTAGCTCCTTGGTGATGTGAACTTCATGCACAAGATGCGCCACCAATGCAGTTTGGTAACACTGCATACCAGGCATCTCACCCAGGCACTTGATGATACGGGTGATTCGTAAGTAGTTGTGCGTGTGCGTCAGCAAGTTGGCATAGCGCGACTTCCAATTACCGGCACGGCCTACCTCGCCGGTTTGCTCGTCCATAAGCTTCAGGCCGTAGAAGTTCAGCATCATTTTGTAAGACTTGAAGAGTCGTCCGCGTGACACTGGATCACTGGTGATCGCCTTAGCCTCATCAGCTTGCAGTGCTTGTGCCGACCAATTCATTCCACTCGATTCACTTATTGGAAAAAGCCACTGGATATAGGAATGGTCGTACTCTAAATGACCGAGGTCCTGCCACCAATCTCTGTGGATGTCATCAATGTACACTTCATGGGGAATTGTAGCTATTTGTCCAGAGTAGAATCGCCAGTTCTTGTTCAGCCGCCCAACACGAGTCTGCTTGTCTGACATGTGCCCGCTCCGCTGCAGCTCTAGACTCTTCGAAGCAGCTGAACCTGCGTCGTTATCGTCATCGCTGTCACCATCATAATCATCACCCACCTGCGCTGGACGACTCCTCCGCCATATGCTGATATTATTAACTACATGCGGGTCATCTCTCACAGCAGCAGCAGCAGCAGGCTCACCATCCTGAGTCTGGAACTGTTCCAAGTCCAAGTTGTTGCCTTGAAGACTGGCTGTCTGGTGGCGCTCTTCAACGCCCGCCATTCTAGCTGCTGGTGTTGTTGTTTCGACGTTGGCAAGCTGATTGTCGACCCCACGCGCAGCGCCCCGCCGGCTAACTTGAACGAACTGATCTAGTCGAAGCTGCTTGGACTTCTTTGCAAGTCCTCCCTTCGCCTTACTCGTAGTTGTAGGCTTGTTAGTCTTACGTCCTGCACTACTATTGGGTTGAGCACGAGCACGAGCACGTTTGGACTCCATCTACAATACGATGCAGTCGGATTTCCCAGTTCCAAATCCTAATGGCAATAATATTTCAATGAAACAGTCAGATGCCTGCCCGTGTGGCTCCAGTTTCGATGCCCAGGCGGGCAGCCATGCCAAACTGGACCCTTTGACTTTGTTGGCCCAATCTACATCGTGAAACTGGCTGTCAACTGTCCAACAGGCAACAATGCATTAATGCGGGCGATATACTGATTCTTGTCACTGTAATTATTATTTTCATCATTCTGGTTCCGCGCCATTTGTTTCGACTCAAAAGGGGAATTCCCCATTCGCTACCAAAATTGCAAAAAGCTGCGTACCATGGTGTACAGCACAGTACTGTGCGTGTGTATGTGTGTTCTCTGTCGAGTGTCGGGCCGGGAGGACGTAAGATTTCCTGGTTACCTTACTACATATGTAGTACCAAGAGTAGATAAACAAGAGTGTGCAACTCCGGATCTCTCCTGCACAATCTGCAGATACTCCCGCCCACGGCGGAATTTTTTGTTGACGTCACCTTTTTTCAGAGAAACGCGGACTTTGCCGCAGAGCAGTGTGAGAGCACGTGCTGGGCACAGACCTTGTAGTGTAAAGCCCGGCCAAGTGCACGAGGGAAACCTCTCCAAAAGGCTCGCAGCGCGTGCGTCGTCGAAAAGATTACGTCAACAAAAAATTCCGCCGTGGGCCAACCAATCCGCGAGTTGCACACTCTTGTTTATCTACTCTTGGTAGTACCAATGAGTTGGAATACGTTCCGCGGCAGAGAAATAATTGATTATTATGGTTGCAGGACTACACTGACTGTGGCAGACAACAGTAAGACAGTAGAGAAAGCTAGTAGCACCTACGAACATACACAAGTATTCATCAACTCAGAAAAAAATCACGGTTCGCGTGAGACTCGGCTGGAAGCCGAGTTTTCCGTCAGGAACGCCACCACCCTCTAGGATTCAAGGCGCAGATGCAGCTCCTAAACTAAAGCGGTGGGAGGTGAGTAGATCAGACCCACCACAAAGTAGTCAAAGCCCAAAAAATCCCATTCGCGACCCTGCCTACCCTCTGTTGGTCTTAGCCCATCCCACTATGCCTCCAACTCAAAATGGATTAAGAGTGAAGAGCAACCCCCCCCCCCCCCCCACACACACACATTCGCCGGCGTTGTTGACGACAAACATTAGGCCGAGTTTTTTCTTCAATAAAAGACCTCTCACAGCAGAGTAGCACTGCAACCGGTGACTTTCTTACAACCCTTCGACATGCTGAGTGGTAACGACAGTGTCTACAAATAAACAAAACTGTCAAAAGGACGAAAACGATGAAAACAAGAGGATGAAAGCGGTGAAAACAAAAGGACATAAAAATATAAAATATAGTGCCGAAACGCACTGCTAAATGCCACATGCTAACAGGGATACTATCAAGGAGTGCAGTGCATGTGCTGCAAGCAGCATGATTTAAACCATACATCAGACTGGGCACAGCAAATGACGAACAACAGAAATTTGAACAAAACGCCACAACTCGGTACGGATAGTCTTCTGAAATAATTTACTAAATGCCAAATTCTGCTAGAATACTGTACAAATAAAAGCAATGGATGATAAAATTTGCCATACTAAATGCCAAGAGAGTAAAATGCTATATACTCGAAAAGTAATCTGTACTCAATCTCCAAAGTAATCTGTAAGTAATAAACAAGTGCAAAGAGAATGTCCTAGAAAGGTGGCACTCAGTTGCGTGGAAACTCCAGTGGATAGGCAACGATGCTGCCTGATGACAAACCAGCCAGAACAAACCTAACAAAAAGAAATCAAACACAAGAAATGTGACACCCAGGATTATTATAAAAAAAAAGAGGACCATAAGTTTACAAGTTATCTGTTTTGTCCAACTCTAGCAATTATAAGCAGAACCTTTTTAATTTTAATCCTTGGCTCTCCATCTGAGGATTATTATTAATAAGCATTCCCGCGTTGAAGTGTAGCAGCAGTATGCTGCGTCCACAGCTTCGCTTATGCTGAATTGCTTGTGTGAGAGGAGAGGGGAGAGAAAGCAGCGAGGCAATCAACATCAGATGTGTGACAATAACATGATGGCTACAACAAAAGAATTGCGCTCCAAATTCTACTTTGCAAGTTGTGCGGCGCATGCCATTAGAAACAAATAGCAAAGAAGACGCCCGCCCTACCATCTCACATCACCCCGGCAGAAGTTCCAAGCAGCAACCGGTATGTTGGAAAACTCCCATGGATTGTGGGTATTTTGAGTTTAGCATCTACTTCAGTCAGCACTGCAATGCTAGCCAGTGAAAAAGTGACCACCGCTACGCTTCCTGTGCCCAGGGACCAGGTTCAAGTAACCCCTGACGCCATGCAGCTCTGCAACCCAGCTTAGTTCACACCTCAGCAACAGTGCAACTCGTGGTGCTGTTCTTGAGCCAGTGGTCCAACTTCACTGGCCAGCAAAATAGCTGGAAGAACGGCCACCAGAATGCTCATGAATTTAGATAGTGTAGTGTCGCATATAAAAGCATGACCTGTGCAGAAGCATGACTCGAATAGAAGCCGATTTTCCAAGCGCGCTGTGACACAGAAGCATGATTCGAATAGAAGCCGCTTTCTGCAAAGTACATGTGCAAGTACATACGTGCCAGTATGCACTGCACAGTGTAGACTGATCATGTTGACGTAGAAGCATGTTTTGAATAGAAGCATAACTTGAATAGAAGCATGGTTTGAACCCCGGCTTATACGGCCGTAAGCACCTGCTTTTATACGAGACATTACGGTATGCATCAACATGGGAATAATGTTGGCATAAACGCAGCACGATGGTGACGTATGGTCGGACAGGTCTGCACTAGTCTAGCAGTGGAGTACTGAAAGTCTGCAACTGCATGTACTCACCGTTCATCTGCTGTAGTTGTCAGTGCTCGCACACTACTCTCTGCACCGGGATAGACGAGTATGGACGCAAGGTCAGAGCAGCGTCGCACCTCCACTGTGCGTGCAATGCCACCTAGCACCAGATGGCGGCCGTCCTGGCTCACTGCCACAGCCTGAACATGCACACATACACATGTACATATGTACACACACACACACACACGCACACACGCACGCACCCACACGCACACACACACAGGCGTACATGGACACGCACACGCACACGGACACACAAACATATATAAACCATGATGTTGCAACAAAGCGGACAGCAGCAGCAGCAATTGCGGGGCATCATCATCATCATCATCATCATCATCATCATCATCATCATCATCGCTATCAGCTAACATAGCCCAGTGCCGAGTAAATAGCAGTGTACATGTAGTGCATGGAACATAATTATAGGAAAGGTGACAGGCTCCAAAATTGCTTTTTTCCACCACACAGCACACAATTAAGGATGGAGACTATTTCCTTGGAAAGTAGCAAGGTAAATTCAAGAAGGTGAGAAACTGCTGCAGCGTGCACATACAAATTCGGTACTTTCCAAACTCATTCATTAGTAAGTCAAAATCTCTATCCTGTCCGAGATTGGTTGGTGTTGTGACAAGCTTTCTTTTCCCCTCTTGGTGAGATTGTAGGCAGTGCTGCTTTCTTTCTTTCCTTCAACAAGGGGGATGGAAAAGTTGCTCTAAGGAGGGTCATGTCTTTTTTGAAATTTTTTCATCAACTTTGTAAAAACAAGAAATACACACACACGCACGCGCGTGCGCGCCCACGCACACACACGCACACAGACACACACAGACACACACGCACACGCACAGATGAATGAACGCAAGTGCACACCGTCTCATCACACACACGCTTACCAAGGCCTGGTCAACTAGCATTTTGCATGCCAGCTGTTCTCCAGTATTGGAGAAAACAGCCAACACACCACTGCCATCAGCATAGAGTAGTACAACGTGACCACATGCTGTGATCTTCACATGATGAGGACGAACACACGTAGGTAATCCACGAGTAGCTTTAGGTTGCACTGAATGTAACACTTCTCCATGGCAGGTGTGCACTAGACAACGGCCACCTGAACACAGTCACACACACACATTCACCAATACTGCTCAAGAAAAAGAAGAAAAAATAGATTGAAAGGCTCAAGAGGGGTTCGAACCCTCGATCTTCGGTTTACAAGACCGACGCCTTACCACTTGGCCATTGAGCCGCCCACGCATATTCTTCTGCCTACGCGCAACTTGACTGAAAGTCATCAAACCCACCAGGATCGTCAGTGGGTGGGTGGGTGTGGGAGAGGTCAAATTATGTTCAGGACGACATGAAAAAAACTGGCAAAAAGGAAAAGTTGTCAAGACAAATAAAATGACAATGTGATGTTTACCCTGGCGGAAAAGGGGAAAGTTTTTCACAGCGCCTCTAGGGGACCTGGAAAGGGCTTTGGGAGAGCACAGAAAGCAGAATGCGAGGTTTGCCATTGGTATTGCTTTTGTATACAATTCTGCAGCATTGTTGTGCACCCCTTGGGTTTGATCTGCCACCCCCTTTGCTACAGTGCTTGCTCCACTTTGGTCACGTCTTGCTTGTTGCTCGCATGGCACATGGCCCGGGGACATCAGTAGGTCCATACGAAGTGAACAGGTGATCTCGCTCCAACCGTTCTTTCGGAGCTTCCATCTTCCAGGTGTAGGCAGCATTCGAGTATTTGAGTTGAATTGTGAAGAGAAGAGAACTCAGATGGCATCGAGAATAGTCTTCAAGCCTCAACGAAAAAGAAGAAGACACTTCGATCAAGCATGTGGTTCCAACACGTGGAAACACAGCACACTATGCGCAGAATGACCTTCAAATTGCAAAAATACCAGCGAGCCACTTGAAAAATACGAATAAAAAGGCTCAAGAGGGGTTTGAACCCTCGATCTTCGGTTTACAAGACCGACGCCTTACCACTTGGCCATTGAGCCACACGCACGGAGGAGTTGTCGGCAGAATGTACTGTGCCTTTGAGACAAAGTTCACAGTGTGCATGGCGATGAGTATAACAATGATTGATTGATTGATTGATTTTTATTTAAGGATTGTCCAAAGGCCGCAGAGGCCTATCGAGGGGCTCTCCTGTGTGCTGTGTAAGGAAAGGGAGGAAGAGAGGAGGAAGGGAGATGAGTGCAGTGTATGGCTTGTTAATCAATACTGTCGGGAGAAAGCGGGAATACCAGAAACAGAATACATACAAGTAGAAAATTCTTGCATGAGGGATGTACGGAATTGCCGGGGGTGTTCAATCTCCCGAATACACGAGGGTAAAGAATTCCAAACGGATAGACAATGGCAATAAATAAGATAAATTGTGCACTCATAACAACAGCAAAAATGAAGAAAGTCAAGTTCCATAACGTTTTCTTGTGACTGTCATCAGTGGAACGCCGTCACATAAAAATGTAATAACTAAAACACACACTTATATACATGTAGCTAATATGGTTTCAGGTAGAAATACAGCAGCTAACAAGTACAAAAAGCGAAGTTTGCACCTTTGCAATGTGTGAATATAGTGTATGTGAGAAAGGTAGTGGCACATGAATGTGATACTGTGTGAATGAATGTAATGGTGCGTGTGTATTATTTGATGTGACGGCGTTCCACTGATGACAGTCACAAGAAAACGTTATGGAACTTGACTTTCTTCATTTTTGCTGTTGTTATGAGTGCACAATTTATCTTATTTATTGCCATTTTACGACTATTGTCTCCTCGTCGATTGTTTGGATAGACAATGGAATAACATAATATGTTGACGGGAGTATGTGTTGATATGGGTTTTAAATAATAAATAGTAAGGTCTGCGTGGACTGGAACTGAGGGTGTAATGAAATTCATCAAGGGTATCAGGGCAGACGTGAAGGATGTGGTGGACTGTGCAGAGACACTGGATGTGGCGTCGCCAACAAAGGGACTGCAGGCGAGAAAGTTTAAACAAGTTCTCTTTGGGTGTGTGCCAGTCAAGGTTTCGACTGCGGAGGATACATCTGCTGATGTGCGCCTGCAGTCTGTCCATGCAAGTTCTCTCAGCTTGCGTCAGAGAGAATGTCCAGACCGGGCAGGCGTACTCCAGCAGGGGTCTGACATACCCACAGTAGAGACTGAAAATGACCTCCGGAAGACGGTGGGACATAAATCCCAGCAGACAAACTCGTTGCCGGAAGGAATGTATGACGTTCTTAACATGGGGCGAAAATGTCAGGGTAGACGTGAGTAATACGCCAAGATGTGTGTGCTCTTGTGTACTTGGGACGTCAGCTGTTGAAACTTGTAGCGGCGACGGAAGAGGTGGCATTGATGTTGCCTTCGCATGGATTGACAAATATGCAGATTTGGAACCATTAAACTGGCCACCTACGGAATTCGCCCACGTCGAGCAAGACGTGAGGTCTTTCCGTAGCTCGGTGGGTGTGCAGGTGGGGACTCGCTCCTTCCCTACCGCTGTATCATCAGCGAAAAGGAAGAGGTCACAATACCGTACTGCTCTGGCAAGGCTGTTGACGTACAGCACAAACAGCATTGGTCCTAGATGGGATCCTTGGGGAACCCCAGAGTGCAGCTTTCGCTGGTTGGATGTAGCCAGACCAATCTTGACCTCAATTGATCTGTTGAATAGATAGCTGGAGAACCACTCCGTAGTCTCTGGTGTACACAAGTTTTGCATGATGTGAACGAGGACACGATGGGAGACCCGATCAAAAGCTTTGCTAAAGTCCAAGAAGGCGATATCATAGCACGACTTCTTGTCCATAGCTTTGTAGGCTTTCTCGAGCAGCATAAGGAGCTGATCGGTTGTTGAGCGATTGCGTACGAAACCAAATTGCTGTCTGCAGATGAGTTTGTTCATGAATACGAAATTGGTTAGCTGCAGGTTCACGAAGTGGTCCAGTAGCTTCCCAAGAGCGGGTATCAGAGATATCGGACGGTAATTTGTGGGTAGATGTTTGTCTCTGTCCTTCTTCAAGATTGGGATGACGGTGGCAGTCTTCCACGCTTCTGGGAAGGTGTGCAGAGTTATGCTAATGTTGAAAAGGGAGGTGACAGACTTGGAAATTACTGATGCGGTTTCTCGGAGCAGCCTGTTGGGTATGCACCCTCCTGACGCTTTGCGAGTGGGCAATTTGCGTATTTGCTTCAAATACGTCCTTTTCACGTATAGGTGTTAGGCAGAAGGGATCTGCTGGCATGGGTAGAGCATTATCCAGCTTGTCGGTGTCAATATTGTGATGCAGCTTGCACTGCGCTGCGAAGTGGCTACAAAGCAGATCTGCCTTTCCTGTCTCTTCTTCGACATGCACACCATTGTCGTCAAGGAGGGCTGGGATGCACTGTTTGGGACGGCTGATATTACAGAGGGATTTTGCTTGATTCCACCAAGTAGCGGATTGGCGTTTCTTTAGGAGGTCGAATCCGAGTTGACGGAAATAGTGTTTTTGGCTAGTCCTCAGAGAGGAAGTGAATGCATTTCTAGAAAAACGATACAGAGTCCAGTCTTCTGGGCGTCCGGTGGCCTTGGCTCGCTTAAAGAGACGATTGCGAGTCTTCCATAGTTTGTGGTGGTGTGACGTGAACCATGGTCTGCGGTTCTTCTTATGTTCCTGCTTTTGTTTAAGCTTAAGTGGAACATACTTGGCAACTGCGGCGATGAAGTAGCTTTCCCATACTTGCCAAGCACTGTCTGGCGAGGTGGCACCCTGCACGCATTCATAAAGAGGGAGACTCAACAAGTGGTAGCGGAGGGCCCGAAAGTCGGTTGCGGCGTAATCGAAAACGCTGGTGACATGTGTGCGTGTTCGCTGGGGTCTTATGTCTGTAGTTAATTGGAACAAAACTGGACAGTGGTCAGCTATTGGTGGAAGAACACGCATGTCGGATATGCTAGGCGAGTTGTTCGTCATGACAAGGTCAAGAAGAGAGGACGTCTGTCCTGAGGCGGAGTAGCGTGTGGCTTGGTTAAGTAAAAGTTGATGTAGCCCCAAGTCATCAAGGATTTTTTGAAGCTTCACACCTTCTACAGAGTTCTGAGTTCCCTGAAACCAAGAGTTCAAGCGAGCATTGAAGTCTCCACAAACAACGAGTGTAGCTTTGCGTGCGTTCAGAGCACTACCAACTGATGCGGTGAACTTTTCCAGGAATGCATCGATGTTCTGATGGGGAGGACGGTAGAAACAATACACAATGATTTGCTGTTTACCGACTTTGATATCTACACAGATGGTCTCAAAAGGTGGATCACACTCAAGTGATTTGCACCTATTGATGTAAGTTTCCAATGTCCGATGGTAGTAGATTGCCACACCACCACCACGAACCACGGTTTCGGAGTTTAATCGTCTATCTCGACGCAGGCAGTTGTAGCCAGGGATAGCTGTGTGTGCCTCCGAGTGGTTGGCGTTGAACCACGTTTCAGTAAGGCAGAGGATGTCAAGTTGTTGCGATATGAGCAGATGTTCTATCGTGTGTAGTTTCTTGACAGCACTCTGGCAGTTGAGTTGACCGATTTTCAAGCGGGTTGGTGGAGAAGTACTGGGGCCAGTGGGGGTGTAAGCACAGTAGCGCGTCGGCTGGAAAATTGGAGCATGTGGATTCAGTGTGGTGAGGGTGATTAGTGATAGTTGTCAAGATATTTGTACGGGACGTGATTTGCAGGGGTCATTGTAATGTAGGGATAACTAAAGTCTAGTGAGATGATGGACCGGTGGTGTGAACGTTATTGACCCACCCCGGGGCCCTGAGTAGTCATTGTTCGTTTGCTGGCAAGAGAAACTTCCTCGTCTGGTGATATTTCTCCTGCTTCCAGTCTGTTTCGTTTTGCGGTTCTGATTGCTGAGTTTTGGCTTGCTTCGTTTGTGAGGTTAATAATGGGGACACTCGATTTCTCGCCAGCTGGGTGGCCAGAGGTAGAGCTAGAATTGACTGGCTTATGGCTGGGTGGTTCAGGTTTCTGGATGGGGGCAGTAGGGGCATGCTGGGAGTCATTTGCATGTACGTTCTCTTGGAGATGTTCTTCGTCGTCGTTGTCCTGGGTCTGCT